AGGAAGAAGGGGAAAGTAAATTGTGTGCATACTTGAAAAAGATTTCAAGGTCTATACCTATGAAGAAGAATATAATGTAAAAAGTATAAAGTTCTACTTTCCTTACCTTTCAGTCTGACTCTCCACAGGTAACTACTATTTAATAGATTTTCGTACAGTATGCCAGGAAAATTAAATGCGTATTTCAAACACACATGTACATTAACCTGCACACTATAAAGTATGGGTTTTGAAAAGCCGATTTAAGTGTTGTATCTCTTCAGATAAACCCATATAGATTGAATTCACTCTAAAAAAATGGCTGCACAATATTGCATTGGATGAATTTACACTTTATTTAATTGGTCTCTTATTGATGGACATTTTGCGTGTTCCCATTTATTTGCTCTTAAACCAAGCTGAAAAACACACTGTAACTGTTTATCTAATTGACTTTAGCAGTTTCTAAAGTCAAGTCACTTTCCAAGAAACATGTTTTCCTTCATTGAATATATTAACTTTTTCAAAGGGTGAGATGTATTTTCGTACACTTACTCTCATGACATAATGCTAGCTAAGCTGATATCTATCTGCTCTCATATTCAACAAATAGTTCTTTATTTTTCTAGTGCTCCAAGTACTACCTTTTTTTTTTAATGGCTTCAAGATAAAATTCACACACAATAGACTTCAGCAAATTAAAATACACAGTGCAATGGTGTTAAGTCCGTTCACAGAGCTGCGCGACCGTCCCCACAGCCTACCTTTAAAATATGTTCGCCGTCCCATTAGCAGTCACTCCTTACCCCGAACCACCTACCACTCAGCTCTGTAAGAGCTGCCAGTGTGGTTTTTTGATACTGGCTTCTTTCGCCCAGCATGTTTTCAATGGTTATCCACTGGAAGCACGCATCAGTACTTCGTTCCTTTTAATTGTTGAATAATATTCCATTGTATAGATATACCACCTTTTATTTATCCATTGACCGGTCACGGACACTCGGGTTGTTGCCTACGTGGGACTATTATGGGGAATGGTGCTAGGGCCCATTCACATTTTTGCATGGACACATGTTTTCAATTCCTTAGGGGTATCTATTACCATATGCTGAGTCATATGGTTATTCTTTGTTTAGTCTTTTGAGAGACTGCAAATAGTTTTCCAAAGCAGCTGCATTATTTTACATTCTCACCAGCAGTTTATAGGAGGATTCTAATTTCTCCATACCCTCGCCAACACATGTGATTATCTGCCTTTTTGATTACAGTCATCCTAGAGGGTGTGAACTTATGGTTTTGATTTGCATTTTCCTAATGGCTAATAATGTTTAGCATCTTTTGATGTGTTTATTGGTCACTTGTATGTCTTTGGAGAAATGTCTATTCAGCTCCTTTGCCCGTATTTTTTAGTGCAGTAAAGCTTTACTGCTGATTTGACAGGGTACTCAGTTCGCCTTCCATGAGATGATTCAGGGCTCCAGACACTGCCGTGCCCTGGGACCTCAGACTCTCCCACTGGGTTTCCTGCATCGAGCTCCAGAGGGCGAGGGGAAGAGGGGCGTGGGGCACGGTGCAGTGGTGCCCTCACCTCCCCCTGCATCCCACCAGCGAGCGCCAGTCAGATGCCCACTTCAAGATGCAAGTGTGTTGGGAAATGCTGCTTAGCTGTGTAGTCAGGAAAGGAAAGGAGCTTTCTGATTCTGGCTCTTGCTCTTTCTGGCTCGTGCCTTTGCATTTCACTGCTTGGAATGAAATGGGAGAGTCTGTCCTAAGGAAAGATTTAAAAGTCCTTTGATGATCAAAGGGCAATATAATCTGGTTCCGTATGGTTCCACCTAGAATAAAAGTTAGATTCTTCTCATCTCAAATAGTTGCAAGGTGATTGTAAGAAATTAGGAAGACAAAGCTTACATGACACTGTGACAATATTCATAATTAAAAACCATGCTTATAGTTTAAAAGGCAACGATAGCTCATTATTTTTGTTTCATTTTCTATATTGAGGATCTGTTATATATTATCAAAGTTGTTTGAAATGTTTATTCTTTTTAAAAAACTGTTGAAAGATTCTCCTTCAACAGTCCTCTCCTGTCCCTTTAGTCACTGAATTAGATTTCATGAAACCCCGATATAAAGACAGCGAAGCTTAGCTGCATCAGCTGAGCTTCCTTCGCCCTCCTCAACACCTTTGGGGCCCCTGTGGCGGCGGGAGAGCCAGCTGTCACTCTCTGTGGTGGCATTCCTTCTCCCTACAGAGGAGCCATGTGCAATTTTTGTTTATTTCCTCTTAAGCGGCCAGGGCGTCTCCTCATCATCTAGAACTTGGTGTAAAGTTTCAGGTTGCCCCTGAGACATTCAGACAAACATGCTTGTTCTACAGTAATAATACTGATGTTTTTGTAACTTGCTACTTGCTTTCTATGTTGTTACTCAATTGACTTGTGAATTATACAGTATAATGAGAATAAACATTTTCTTAATGAACTCAGAAACCTCTGGGTAGAAAGTACTCTATGTACTTGAGAAGAAAAACATACCCTTACTTTAAGCACTTACTCAAACCTTTGCTAATACAGCTTATCCTGCTGTAGAAAGTATACTGATGTACACTTTCCATCAGTTTTTTTGTTGTTCACTGTGAACCCACTGCTGCCTTAAGACTCTCTCATTTTCCTTTTTCATCTTTCACAAACAAGTGGTCTGAAGTATTAATCCAGGACACAGAATCTTATGCGGTTGTTGGTTAGCAAAGACACTTAAGTAAAATTTCTGGGGAGCGGGAGGAAGGAACATATTTTATTTCCTAGTTAATGACCAGTTTAAAGGAGAATGACAATGAGAACATGGTTTCAAATGTGTGAATCACTTATATGTAATTTTGAGCAATGAGAATGGTGAATAAAAAACACTGAGGCATCACAAACGAACACACTGCAGCGCTTACTTTTAAGGTTGCTGTTTTCTTGAATCACCTGCAGATCAGTGGCAGGAGTGACTCACTGTTACCAAAACTACTACTGAATTGGTGTTACCCACCTTCTTCAGTTCACTCTGAGGAAAGGCAGCAAAATTTAAGTTCATAAACCCAGTCGGAAAATGTGATTTGTAAGTCTTCATACACACAAATGTTAAAATAAGGATTGTCAATAACAGATTCCAAATGGAATTTTCCCAGTATTTCTAGGAAGCAGATGCTTTAAGAAATTCATTTTCACCGAGTGAAAATTTCATGCAAGTAGAAAATAGTTAGTGACTCTAAAACTCTGAAGTTCAGTAGGAGAATTCAAGTCTGTTAAAGAGTTCAACATCCTCTCAATTGCGTCATCACCCCGTAATTGGCAAATCCTATTAAATATGAGCCATTTCCTCAAAGAAATATCAGTTTTCTGGATTCTTATTAGAGGGGAATGCTGCTAGGGCAACCTCAAGACTACATACATTCAACACATTTTTCGGAAATAAAAACACAGAAATACTACATAAATCAAATAAATGATAATTGTACAAAAATAACAAAATCTTTACAGAGGAACCAAATTCACATTCTTAATAAACACAATTCCCACTGCCACTCTGACCTAAACTGAGATTTCCAAGGAGCCCATAAGAAGAAATATTCTTCTTATACCAAGTCATGGCAAGGACAGAAGTGAGCTGTTATACTAATGTTTCAAAAAGTTGAGAATATTCAACTAGCATGAAAATCTTAAAGGACAACTCTATGTGTGTATGCGTGTGCACGCATGTGTGTGTGAGAGAGAGAGAGAACTTTGGAATTATAAACTTAATACTTTAATGGGATAACAGATCATATCTCACACACACACACACACACACACACACACACACACACACACACACACACAATATAAATAAAGAAAAGGAAGAAAAACAGCACTGGCCGGGCTGCGGCCGCACACAGCTAATCTCTGTTTATCAGCGACGGCTATCCCGACTGGGTGCTGTTCCCACAGTATCATATCAGCACAACCATTTAGAAATGAAACAAACCACAGGAAACAAGCAAAACAACTCTCTGGCTGTCTGGTATGCATAGGCCACTTCAAAATCAGAATCGAGAAATTCTCTCACAAAGTTTCTTATGTATGAACCCACTAAGCTGTTGTCTGGGGACTTAGGGAGGTCCTTATTAGAGCTTGAGGAACTCCTTCTGCGGCTTATGATAATTTTCAGCATATAAGGAATGTCACAGGTAGTGGCCCTGCCCTACAGGAACTCATAATGCATTCTCCCCATTATGATATCATGCTATTTCATCATCATCCTGAGGTCGGGTGGAATTATGCCCTTCGCCTGTAAGGTGGAAGAACAAAGGCAACATGCTACTGCTGTTCTCTGTTGACCATGGCTGGTGAGATTTGAGTGGTGCACTGAGCAGAGCCAGTAAGAGTCTCCTTCCCAGAAAGTGAGAATGAGGGTTCCAAGACACTGAGCCATGAGCTAATGGTGACCCTCACGAGGACATGTTACAGGCTGGGAGGTAAGAAGAGGAAGGGCTGGGGTTGCTGCTTCAGTTAGCCTGTGGGTGCCCTGGCCTATGGGAAGCAGAAGAATACCACTGAACAAAGAGCAGCAGAGAACAGAAACTACGTGGTCTCAGAAAGACAGGAGATTCCTGAATCCAACCAATGGCTTTTCAGTATCAGGCTCTCATTCTCTACGAAATCCATGTTTATGTCCCGCCCCGAGTGAGAAGCCTTTGCATATTTCCTATAAAAACCCTCCTTTTATTTTTCTGTAATTACAGAGAGTTCCTTGACTAAGGGAATAAGAGTCCTAATTATTAAAAATCATTGGTTTAGGGTTGGCTTTCTTCAACCATTTGTTAATAATCATTCAATATTTTTCCCTTGATTTAAGATGTTACTCCTTTATTTGCATATTAGAGTCTTCTAGGGCACCAGGTCACAGGGAGATCTTGAGAAGAGAGAGGTACTGATATTCATGTATTTAGCAATGAAAGGAAAAATTTTTATTGACAAAGTAAGATAACTACTTACATAATCTGGTAGAGGAAGATCATTGGAACTTAGCGAACCTCTCAAGGACTGTGTGGCTTGTTCCAGAACTTTGTTGTGTTTTTTAGACAGCAAGGAAAATAAACTGAAAAAACAAACAAACAAATAAAAACCCCATTTATATTAAAAGAACTAAGTGTCTCCTTTTCTGGGTCATATATGGAATTATATAGTTCCATAGAATGTCAATCATTCTAAAATACATTTGCAATGATTCTTTTTTCATGCTTATGTTAATAGCAGGATTAACAATACCATTGATATAACAAAAAAAATGAAGTGAGGAGAATGTTTAAATTCTACACATTCTAAAGTATAAAAAAATTGACAAGTTAAAATTGTATTTCAAACATAGAAATTTTCAGATTACTATAAGTGGAAAAAACAGACAGAGATTTAGAAAACCTGGGTTATGAAATGACTTCATGAATAACTCATAGTGTAATCTATTACAAGTGACATAAGCTTGTTGTATCTCAATTCTTTCATCTTTCAATTAAGCGTGTTGGATTAGATTATTTCTCTAGTATAATATAGTCTATGCTTTATTAATATTATAGCTTTATATTTTTGTTTTTCAAAAAGAATGACTTCAAATATACATATTATAAGATTTCTGCCTCTGACCATGATGAATTACCTGGTACTGAATAACTCTCTTGCTGTAAACAACTAAGAAACTGGACAAAATATATGAAATGACTGTTTTCAGCTGTTATACAACATCTGAAGTGCAGGATTCTGATCCCTAAAAGAAAAGAGATCTAACACATGGAGAATTTCTACCTAGAGAAACATTCCAGGCTGTGGTTCAGAATGGTGGGGCTCAAACAGTACACACTCAATACTGTGCTGAGCAAAGAAGACAGAGGTACGAATTTGGGGCTGTTGTGGCAGCTGGAATTTTCAGGACAGATTATTAGATAAATGCAAGAGGGAGATCAAGAAATCTGCTGAAAGGTCTTCCTGAGTGTTTGGCTAGGTACCAAGCTGTATTGTACAGAGAAAGGCCCCACAAGGTGGCAGTTAAACAGCTACCCAGGAGCTGGATGAAACTCATTGCACGTGGGCATTCAGGTGAATTCTCGGCAAGGCCATGCTTTAGGAGGAGAGCTAATATAACCCAGAGTAAATATTACTCCATTCTAAATTGTACTCTAACGGATCTAAAATGGCAATTTGCAAAGGATAAAGTCAATTTACATTAAATATAAATGGCTAAACACTTCAGTTTAATGGCAGAGGTTGTCAGACTGGATAAGAAGCAAGACCCAATCACATGCTGTTTACAAGAGTCACACTTGTAAATTTAAAGACATAGGTAAGTTAATACTGAAATGATACAAAAAAGACGAACACTAATCATAAGGAAGCTTGAGTGTTTCTATTAATATTAGAGTAGGCTTCAGGACAAGAAGATTATTATTGTATTAGAGATAGAGAGTTTTTATAATGATAAAAGGGCCAATTCACCAAGAAGACAAAACAATCCTAAATGCTTAAAATATACATAATTATATGATTATACTATTAAGCCTCCTGTAACTAATGAATAAAGAATTCCTCTTTGGGCTAGATGGCAACTTAAAAATAAAGGCAATTCTGATTCCATGTACTTTTCCATATAAATTTGAGGTATAACTTGTGTTATTGTTTTAAATGCCAAAAACATTACTCCAGTATTTCTTAGTGATACCCTGTTGAATAAAATATTACTTTGAATATCTATTTAGGAATATCTCTAATTATTCCCGATGGTTTAAATGGGATGTTCACTGAAGACAAGGTTACTAAGTATTCTTTCTATATTAAGTTTTAACATTATCAAGAATAAAAATTCCTTAAACACTTCTTGGAAATGCTGGATGTTATACAAAGCAAATATAACACAGGCAAGAAACTTCTCTCAATCTATACTTAAATACAGTTGAAAGAAAAAAATAATTAAGTGAAAAATTACTAAATGAGTACGTGTAAAATCATATAATACTGATTAAGTACTAAGCCTATGTCTAAGAAAGAGTTCTTTGAAATGGAATAGTCCAGTAGTTTCATGAAGGCATTAGATCTTATAGAGAGTCTTGAAGAAAAAAGATTCACTGAAGAAAAAAGATTCACGCAAGAAAAAAGCCATTTCTAAATAGAAAGCAGAGTGCAGAGGCAAAACTGGGCAAAGTGAGAAGGGTGGAATGAAAGTGCTATATAAAGAAGCAGAAAACAAGATTCAATTGATAAGGGTATATGCATTTTTTTTCAACCACTTTATTTTTCTGGGTCTTCTCTGTTTGAAGTTAGTTTTGTTCTGTTGTGTTTTCCCTTTTTAAGGCTAAAAGTAAATACTTTCTACTCAAGCCCATTCCCATGACCCATTGGTAACTAATGTTAGTTTATTGTACGTGATTCTAGAAATGTTATATGCATCAAGGAATAAATGAATACTGTCTGTTTACATCCACTTTTTTATTATACAAAATATGAACTGTTCTCTATCTGCACTTTTTCTACTCCACAATATATTCCTTGATTCATTCAACAAGCATTTATTGTCAGTTACTTGATACCTAAGCTTATGGAGAAACCATAATTTAACTAGTCCATTATCAATCATTGTAATGTTTCTAGTTTTTAGTATTACAAATAGCACTGCAGTGAATACCCTTGCACATAATTTTTAACTTGCCTGAGGGGAAACTATCTATAGGATAATCTCCTTGAAGTAAAACTGCTGAGTACAAGAATTACCAAACATAAAAGTGAACTGCACTGGCAGTATATACTTTTTAATACAAATTATTTTGCAGGTGATATAAAAAGGTAAAAATATATTAGCATATTGTATAATGCAGAGTCACATGGAAGTGAGTAAAGAGGGAAATTAGTAAAAGTCTTCTAATTGGTTGCAGACTATTTTCTGGGATAAATGGAATTTCAGAAGTTTTTTGAGACAAAGAACTTTGGATTATAGCAAAGTGCATGGCAAGACCCAGAAGCATAAACTGGACGCACGAACTAAAAGGGAAAGCAATGAATATACCTGCAAGAATGACCTCTTGGTGTTAGTAAGAGTGAAAGGAGCAAGTGAAGCAACATGCTGCACTTTGTTGGATTTACAAGATACCAGAACTCAGGTGCTTTTCTATGGTTCAACACACTGGGATTCAGTGTCCTAAAAGTACAATTTCGGAGAAGGACAGAAGACGTAATCTATGATAACTTTCATCATCAGTAAATTATTAAATGAGTGCTAGGAATCAAGGCAAAAAGGATGTAAAATTGTTTCCTTTGGAGAAGAAAGGCTAGTTTATTTATTTAAAAAGAGAATACTAACAATCCTCTTTCCTTGTTAGTAGAAGACAAAACAAGGAAGTTAGCTTCAGTTCAAATATAAGCTCTTTCACTTGGGTATAATGGAAAATTTGACTATTGAGGGCATAAAATGTTGAAATGGTCCACCTTAACCAGCTGTGGCTACTGCTTCCAGCTGCCTTTAAGAAAGTTGGTGTAAGCACAGATGATTTGAGGCCACTTCCAGTTTTCTACCATGAATGAAAACAGAGAATTCACATTTCAGGTTGTTATTCTTCTACAAATTAATAGACTTTCTCCCAGGTCTTACAGACCTTTCAAAATTTTAGTTTAAAAAAAAAATTCCAATTTTGGCTTTCGTTTAGCATTTATAAGGCAAAATGACCTAAATTTACATGAGACATCACCTGCAAATTGCTGAGAAAAGTAACTTTTGTCTAAAGCTTTGCATTCATTGTACCAGCCCTAGCTTAATGCTAGCATAAGTAATGCATGATATTTATATTAGAGGATAATCCTGTTTTTAAAAATAAGTAAAACTGACCTTCAAATGTGCTTAATATTCATTCAGTCAGGATATAGCTGCCAGAATTTTTTTTTATTAGAAAGACTAGATTTTTCTTTTTGTACAAGAATGTTCATCACAAATTGGTTTAATAATGAAACACTGAAATAAAAAACACTGATCAAGAATAGAATGGAGAAATAAACTGTGGGATATTCATGCAGTAAAATATTATGAGTGATTTAAAGTGATCTAAAACCACATGTAATGATATGACTCAATCTCAAAAACACTGCTGTTCTACAAGCAAGAAACCCTTGTAGAAGAATGTGAACAAGGTGATATTATTTATAAAGTGTTTTAAAAATGTAAAAAATATTACATATCTTTTACAGCAAACATAGGAAATAATAAAACATATATGGAGATGATAAATACTACACATAGGATAGCCATTATTCTCTGAGAAAGAAGGCAAGGAAATGGAATCAAGGAGGAAGAAATAAGGGATTCAAGGTGTGCATGCGTGTTCTCTCTCTTTCATATATATGTATACACACACATACATACATATTTCTTTTGTTTATACTGAATACATACACAGGATATCACCACATTTCTCTCACTCTTTTTTTTGATGTGTGCCGGTAATATACACATTTTAAAAGCTGGATGAAAAGAATATACTTTCCTGAAGAAAACAAAGTGTCTGCTAGTAGAGAGCATTTCAGAAAAGAAAGCAGCATGTGAATAGAATATGTGTGGTCAGTGCAACCTGCAATATGCTCAGAAAACCACGCGCCGCCACTGAAAAGGCCACAGCTGAAGGCGCACAGTTGGCGGCAGGAGATGACGCCGGAATGAAGACAGTCCGAGGGCAGACCGAAGGGCCGCGATGGAACATCAAAGCCCCGGTCTTTGTTCTGTATGGAGTGAGAGGCTAATGGACCGTCAGTCTTACAAAATGATGAAAGAGACATGGTCCCTTGCCTCCAAGGAGCGCAAGTCTAATGGGATAAGGAAGAAAAATGTCTGCAGTACTGAAACCAGAGAACACCAAGGGTCTGGAGAGTATGCAGTAGGAACACAAGGAGGTTTAGGCACATTTCACAGAGAAAGTCTATTTTGACGGTGACCTTGAGGGTCGGGGGATTTGCTAGCTGGGAAAAGTAATGGGGCAGGAAGAGCAATTCGGAAAGGAGAAATAGTGTATCGAAAGGCAAAGAGAGACTTCAGAAAAGTACCAATAGCTTGTAAGGCCAGAAAAGTGAAAG